GTCCGTGGCCGCCTTATCTCCCATTTTGTACTCCTTGATCTTTTGTTTGTGTACTTCCTGTACCGCCGGATCAATGAACTTGTCGTTTAGCATTCGTTTGAATACCAGCCACGAGGGATATCGGTAATGCTCCCTGGTGGCGGAACGGAAGTTCGGGGAGATTAGGATCCACCACGTTTTTGCTTTGTCCTCTAGGTACGAGGTAGCGAAGGCGACTTTGTTCATATCGGTACCTATGTACCCGATGTAGACTTCGAAGTATTGTTCACAGTCCACCAGGAAGCGGTCGATATCGTCTGAGGCTCCTTTAAAGGGGCGGGGCTTTCGAAGGAGGTCAGGATGACATGCTAAGACGTTAGCGTTGACCGGGAGTGCGCCCATCGGGTTGGGCCATTCGCTGAATGGTGGTTGTTTCCATTCCGCCGGCGGCCCGGGGAAGGAGTGTAAGGAATCGTCGTCAGCGACCGGGCTTCCTTTTGGGTCGACCACCCGGACGATTACTCCGTCCCATACCGTAAATCCGAGGCGGACCGCCTCGGGATCGTCCCAGACGGGATCCTTCCCGCTTGATTCTGCTTGGTCTGGGGGAGGTTGTCCGCTGAGGAGCCGACTTCCTCTGCCGGTCCAAGGGTTCTGTTTCTGAGCGGCTTGCCATGCCGGCCGGTTTCTTGTTCGGGTGAGCCGCGAAGCCGTGCTTCGGATGGACGGGTTGTCATCGGCCCGACTTCGAATGGAAGGGGCGATGTAAACGGCTCGTCGTGGTGGTACAGGGGGGGTACGCGGCATTGGTGCCGGTACTCTTGATTCGTTGTCGGGCCGATAAGGGGGAATCAGCACGAGGGGGTCTTCTGGGTGCCGTCGCCCATATTCCCTCCATGCATATTCCGTGGCGGCATACTGTAAGATTTTTTCTTTTTCGGTACCTGGTGCGTACCTATACTCGAGTCCTAAGGACGTCGCTTGCCAGCGCGCGTCCTGCCATAAGTAGTTCCTGCCCTGCTCATACAATTCCTGGTATTCCTTCCCCCTGGCCCTTTCAATTTCCTCCCGCAGTGCTTCTTCGTCTGTATCTTCTCCCGCTCGTTCCAGTCGTTGTCGATATGGGTCGTCACTGCCCTCGTCGTCCTCCTCGTCGCCCTCGTCCCCGCTGTCCCCTTCCTCGAGGAGGGAACTGACGGGCTGGTCGAAGATGGACGGCGCGGCTGGACGAAGGGTCGTTGGGGACCCTCCCGTTGATTTGGGTGCTGGTTCCTTCGTTTCCTCTGTCACTGGTTCGAGCGATGGGAGGGGTCCTGAGTCGACTGTAACGCGTTCCGCCGCGCGCTCTTGTCTCCTCCAATTCTCGGCTATAGACGCCGAAGAGTCGCTGGAACTCGGGATTGAGGAATTGTCGAGCGACCCTACTGCCCAGGAACCGCTGGAGAGCCCTGTCGGAGACGTGGGCATTGTCGGGTACTCGGAGCCCGTAGGCTCCGAGGACTGAGTCGGCGTCGGAGGAGATGGTGTCAGTGCGGGCAGGGTACTCGAGGTCGACAGCTTGGGGCCTCTCGGCATTTCCTCGCCGGATTGCCTCGTCCCAACTGACGATGCTAGCGGGCCCTGTCCATGGGTCGTCATCCGAGTCGGGCTCTCGGAAGGGGGATCCAGTGTCGGTGCGGAGCTCATACTCCCTAGGGGAAGCGGACCCCATTCTTTCGACCTCCTCCATTCTTCTCTGCTCTCTTCCCTGCCTGTCGTACTCTGCGGCCTCATACTGCTCGCGGGCCTCTTCGCGGACGTAGTCGGCGAGCTCCTCTTGGGTTCGCCTGATTTCGTCCTCTCGGTGCTGATTCTGCTGTCGTACAGCTTCGTCATAGTCGAAGGGGACGGCAAGGTCCCACTCCGGGAATATTCGATGGATGATTCTTCTTGTGGCAGCTCTTCCCCTCTCGCTTGCGGTCTCGTTCTCGGGCTCACTCCCGACATGAAGATGCCGGAAGGGATCCCCCGCTGCCGAGATGGCGATGTCCGCATTGTCGTAGTCGGGGTGGACATCTCTTCCTCGCGGGTTATCGACCCCCAGCCTGCTGACGGACGGGCTGGAGCCGGAGTCGGGCTCGGTGGGGGTTTCGGGGGGGTTCTGGGTGGGGTCGGGACTTTCGCGGGGTCCCGCAGCCATCCTAACGGCATCAAGGGAGTCCCGAGCACGGTTTCCAATCCCTGAGGGAATTGGGGAGGCGGGATGTTCGGGGGAGCCTGCTGGAGTGATGTAGTTGGAGACCTCGGTGGGCTCCTGAGCGACGTTCGTCGTCCACGGGTTCCGGAACCCTGTGAGAGCAGGGTGGCGGTCTCCGATGTGTCGTCGAGGGTGTTCGGGTCCTTCCTCCTCGTGAAGGCTCCTCTGATCCGGGTCGCTATTCCCGGCTTCTGGTACGGGTCCCCCTTGCGGGAAGAAGGACGTTCTGGCGGAGGGGGGGATGTCATGGAAAGGTAAGTCAGGGGTTACGTTGCGTAGAATGTGTTGGATCTGCTGGAATGCTTGGTAGTGCCTGACTATCCAAGCTGCTACTGACTGTCGTCCGCGGCAGAGGGTGATAATAGCTAAGAGACCGAGCAATGTTCCGATGATGGAAGCTATGAGCTCGAAGAAGTCGTGATTAAGGTCGGCGGTTGTTACTGGAGGCATTCGGTTTCTCAGCACAATTGGGCTTGAGAAAGGGAACGAGGAAGCTTCGAGCTAATTGTTAGGCCCAAGCGTCACGTGCAGCGAGTCACGTGATAAACGATTGCACCTCGCACTTCAGGTGATCAATCGAGTCCACGAGTTTGACTATCTGCGGTGTGTCACAAGGCTGTAGCAGCTCGAGAGTAGAATGGTATGAATAAACTTTAGCTCGAAGCTGGGGTATACCAGCGAGAGCTATCGGTCTTAAATACTATACAGACATTGCTAAGAATACCACTACCTATTGTGTCGTTCTGTGTCCATGGTGCCCGTTGTCCTCGAGCATCGTTGTCGTACATAAAAGGGTAATTGTGCGTCATCGAGCGTCGTTGTGTCCAGGCGGCTCAGTTGTGCTTACTAAGCCCTTCCCGTGGTCTCGGCATGACTAAGCATAGGGGTAAAAGAACGAAAAGAAAGGCAAAAAGGAGAAAATCGTAACACTAGCAGTATAAAAACATGAGTACTCAGTAGAAATTGAGGTTCATAGAGAAAGAATTGAAGAAATACCAAAGGATATCATAGTAAGACAATAAGGACTTGTAAAATTAGAAGGATTTGTGCTGACACCTGTGTCTCTGAAAATCACTCAGTGAATTTGAATATCCATAATGGTATAAGACAAATAGATCTAGTCTGTGGAACAATGATGAAATCTACACTCTTAAAAGAATTTTAAAACATGGCAGCACTACATACCAGCTACTAAGTCCAAGATAGGGCTTAGGTGATTGAGGACAGTCACAATTTCAGTGTGAGAGAGATGATATACAGTATATATATCCAAACCTGAAATTTGCAAATTTTAAACAATATATTCACAAAGCTGAAGTCTATATCACTAGCCATTGAAGAGCTATAGAGCTGATAGATATGTTAGCTGGGAATTCTAAGTCCAATTGAGACTTAGAGGACTAATATCACACTGAGGTGATAATCATAAGTTGAGTTGAATTTAATGGAATTGCATCACACTTTGGTAAAATACTAAGTCAAGTTTGACTCAGAAGCAGTATTACATTTTAGCTAATTCTAAATGCTATAAAAGCTAATAGATGTCTAGCTCAAGGAATATTACTATAACTCACAGTGAAGTGTTAAAGACAGCTAGCACTCAAACCAGAAGTAAAAGCAGAGCAGAACTCATTAGCCTATAGCTAACACCTCAAGTTTGGCTTAGAATGCACAAGTCAGGATTTCTCAGGCACAGAGTATTGCATGGAACTTGGAAATAGAACAAGCAACAGCTGCATGCTTAGTTAGTGCCTTAGATCATCCACAATCAGCACTAAAGAGCCTAAATTACTGATCAATCATGATTGGCAGTGACTCCAGGCATAGTAAGTGGAACTGTGGGATGATCAAGTGTATAGCTGATACTTCTGGTATGATGAAACATCATAGGCATGTGCATAGCTAAGTCTCTCAAACTAGAACAAAGCTTTGATGAAAAAGAGCAATCAAATTATCTATGAGAGATCTACAGGGTATACATTTGATCAGTGACATGCCCTGAGACAGCATTTTCTCATAGTATCAATTGTACTTGTTTTGTATATGTACCTATGAATTCAGTACTCTTTGTATCAGTTATTTTGATCTCTCTGCAAAAATACCCCCTCCAACTGAATAACAGTCTAGTCTAGCCATATCTGTAAAGCTCAAAGAGTCATGAACCACAATAGTATTTCTTGAAACTCAAAATCACCAACTGATATGATACATAGACAAGAACTGCCCTTGTATATAAGCTCAAATTCTATGCCATGTGCCTCTCTTTTGATAGTCAATTGCCCAACTCCACATGAGCAGTAAATTCTACTCTCCTCTCTTTAATACTGCTGGTCATGCTCTTGCACTTTACTTGGATTATGCTTTGTCCAATCCATTCAGTTTTACCCACAGTGTCAATTATAGATTATAGATCAATGTTTCACAACTCTACTCCATATTTCTCAGGCTTATTAGTGATCTCTTTTTCCAGTCATATAAACAGACTATCTCATCACTTGCATTGTACTGGTGTATCCTGTCCATTCTACATTTGTTTTCTTTTCCCATCATTAGCAATATGCACCTAAATATTTGTTAGGATGTATCAATTGATATTACACTCACCTCTTGTTTTCTCCTTCTCAGGTACATGTATATTTCTTGTCATACTCTTTCTAGTAAAGGGTTTCCTTCTGATTATTCCTCAGTCATCATATATCTCAGGAGGATGAAATTGTAATAAATATGAAAAGATTCCAATTCCAAAAAAATACCAATTGGCTCACTGAAAAATGATAACATGCAACTCTCTGGCTGGGAGTCGAACCCAGCTTTCCCACGTATAACTATCACTATAATGACAGGCGCGTATACTAACCGATATACTACCAGAGATCCTACATACATGCCAATTTCCCTTATTTTGTATTTTAATGACGAAAGAATCCTTCCACCCAACACCATTGACCCCGATGCCTCCAGCAAACTTATATCATCATCCGCACAGTCGAATTCTAGTTCGTTGGAAGTGTATCACTAGGTCCAAGAGAGGGAATCGGGAATGGCTGGTGATAGTCACAGTTGTAGCTATGGACAAGCGGGAATCTACGGCAATGCAACACGTGATCTCGGTGGAACCGGACCGCGGCAACGCTCCCATCGTTCTGGCTGTTATTCACAAAATCCGCATAACCCCAATGTACGTTCTTTTCTTTTCTCGCAAGTGGGTTACTCTGATAACCGTAATTTCCTTGTTCGTCGGGATCATGAGTGGGTTGTTTAACGCTTATCCTTTACCTCTTTCCTAATCTACGCACATTGTCCTTTTTTCCTAGTATGCACTATTACTCATGAACGTTGAACTCGTCGGACAAAACTAATTTCTTCTCTGAGGACCGCACGAGATCTTCTGTTGCACTGAACTTGGTTTCTAGTATACTCTGCCGCGTCGGGGGGGATCGTTTTGAGGATCCCCAAGTAACATGTGTGTGCGATCTCTCACCGCCTAGATCTGGAAAGTTATTGGCTGCATGAATACTTACCCTGGAATGCCCAGCCCCGAGATTCCTATTGTAATATTCAGTTTCCTCTCCGAATAAATAACCGTGTTCTTCCACTCATCGCTCAACCCCATGGACAAATAACTTTATCTTCCATGGCAACGGTTCCTCGCCCTGTGTCCTTAGATCCGCTCCAAATCAATGGAACTTGCCTACCTCTTTCGAAAAAGCCTCAGACTAGAGAAGAACGAAGCTCATCGCCAACACGCATGGATTCAAATATATGCTCCCCGGTCGTATGTCTTGTGGCCGGGAATCTTTATTCATCCCAGAAAGACCGAGCTTCTAGTTGGTTCACAAATATATGCTCTCGACGATCTTACGTGGACATACTTCCATGCTTCTTTATATTCAGTCCTTGAAAACTGAATGACGAGCGCCAGGCTGCTTCTCTCGTAAATTCACCGGCACCCCGCGTGCTCTTTTCCTCCGAACCAACAGGTCATAGAAGCAAAGACGATGGATTCTGCAAAGCCATTGCCATGATCCAGCTATCCTAGTTTATCCTCCTCCAATGTCTCGCTCGCCGCGTACAGCAGCTCCGTATTGTCCCAATCGAGATGTCTGCACCGGCGTTCTCGATGCTGAGCATCGTGCTGTACATGATGTGGTACAAACCGTTTGATGTCCACGTACACATCGTGCTCCCCCTCGGTGCGAAGCGTGGCTGTTCCGAACATGATCATGACCGAGAGCATGTTGGGTTGCTCCGACGCGTCGGTGACTGGTATTGTAACGTGTTGGTCGCGATATATGGGGTCCGTGGACGACGATGCAATCCCGACTGTCGAGACTGGTGTCTCGTAAATCTACGTGGCTGACTATATCGATAATCCTTCACGGCCCTCGATGAGCGGCGTGAGCTGTAGGGGCTCTGTTTGGGTCCATGTATCTCGTTGATTGGTCGTATGAGTTTCCTTCCAGCGTCGAGAGGATTTTGTGGAGCGCGTCTGCTCTCGCCGTTAAATCGATCGCATTGTGGTTCGTCGTGCAGGGATATAGCCTCTTCTTTTGCCCTTCCCATCGTTCGATGGTCTTTGCTGCTACCTTTTATATTGCGGCGAGGACTTGTATTATCGTTTTGGCCCTTATGTATTTACGTTGCCTTCTGCCATCGGCCCTTGTTGAGGTTTCATGGACGACCAATATTCCACATGTTTAGATAATAATTAGATTTCCCGGTGTTACCTTATGCTTCTCCTCTTATGAGTATCTCAGATTTGATATAAATCGTCGTTTCGTCCCGCTATCCTACTCGTAAACACGGAAATGATGTATATACATCGAGAATGAAACCGACTTCCTGCAATTGGTGTTCTCATGACGAGTGCGTATTTCTTCTTTATCAGTACTGTGCTTGTGTCGATGGGCGTTCCTCATCACTTGCCGAGGACAGGGAAGCTATTGACTTCGTTTCTCTCCAACTCGGACCGTTCACACGACAGCCCGCGAAGCTCAGCGATCCTGCGTTCCACATGAAGATGAGAACAATAATAAGTAATAATTGTCCAAAAGGCTTCTGTACTTGTCTCGATGAAGCAGTCCTCCAAATGCGTCAGAGTATGAGCAGCGCCTTCTGATATATCCTACTGTCTCACCCTTCTCACCTTCCACTTCGCTCCATCCTTCTCCCTTACCAAAACGACGACCTTCCCAAGCCCATCCTCCCAATGATCCATTCTCCTCAGCTTCGCGCACTTCCAAGCCAGCAAGCTTGCCACTTCGTCGTTCTTACGGAACCTGCTACGATCCGCCATAGAAGTCGAAGAGACCGAAGCTGAAGCCTCGTAGAAGAACTTCACCCCATGGAACGCCACCAACTCGGGTAGTCCTGTTAGTAGGTTCGCCCATTCGACTACCCCAGCCAGGTTCTGTCCGCCGCTGAGTTTCTTTCCGATATCGAGCCAAGAGAGCATGGGCGAGCTCTCGACGAGCCGGCGGATATCGTCCATATCATTCCAACCTCTGAGCTCCATTTTCTTTATGGACCCTCCGAAGAGCTTGAGGCTGGAGAGGAAAGCGTCGCACGAACCGGAAAGGCGTGCACCTCTGATTGTCTCTAGTGGACGGGGCTCTTCCGACGGGCATGATAGGATCGCAGTGACGACGTCTTTGTGTGCTGTGAGCTCTCGGAGACGCGGCAGTGAGTTGGCGTATAATGCAATTGGGGACATGTCGATGTTAAGGACCTCCAAGCTAGGGTGGGCGGATATGAAGGCGGATGCCGCGTCACTGGCGCCGCGGAGGTTTGTAAGGGTTAGCGTAGTGAGGCAAGGCCATCGACCGTACAAGAACAGTTCATCTGCAGGTATGTGGGCGGCGAATGGGGGCCGGGGACGCGCGTAGGATATGTTGAGATCCTGAATCGTGTTAAAAGAGATAAGGCCAAATTTTGGGAAAGATACTTACCTCGAGATTGGGGCAGTGGTTGAGCATGTCTTTGATACGACCCAGCTCTGGATTCTGACATGAGCCATAGATGTGCTTCGTGGATTGGAACGACGCGGTTTTGACAGATGGAAGCTAAAGGTAGTAAGGATTAGAGAAAAGATGGTCATAGCAGGTGAAGACTCACGACGAGAGAACGAGCCACCTGAGTATCTTCACCGGATGTCGGGCCGAAGATCATATTATCGTTGATCCTGACTTCAGATAACGAATGGCACTTCAATAAAGTTGGCCAAACATTATCAATCGAGATCGGAGAGTGGTTACACGACCACACGAACGAGTTAAGTGTAGTCATCTTCGTCAATGCCGAGACGAGATACCTCTCCTGCCTTTCATGCATTCCCAGCTCGTCATCGGTCGACTCCAAGTCCGTATCCGTGCCTATAACTCCACCAGGTATCCGTATAGCTTCCACAGACGACTCTCATCTAGAATCTCCAGCCTCCTGACGTTTTTTGCCAAAGATCGATTGACGATCAAGTGGTTCCACACACTGATCGAGCTGACCTTGCATCGCAGGACTCGATAGTCCAAATGCCGGGGCACAACGATATCGTGCATACGCTGGCAAGACAAAGCAAGCGATAACAAATCTTGCTTCGAATCGATGTGGAAGACGATGGCGTCGAGAATCTCGGTGGGCTGACGCGTAATGAGGATCCGCCGGGAAGGGGACTCGTCGCCAATGTAGGGCTCGACAATCATGAGGAGGTGGAGCGAGAGTTTGTATTGACACCCTCCAAGACGCGAAGCTAAGGATCCCAGAAGGCCTGCGAGAACATTGAACGCGCGAAATGGGTCCGTGCGGTCGTAGGACCCTAGATGGGTATCAATAGAGAGGACGGCTTTTCGCTGCCGTCCCCTTCCGGGACGGAGAGACGGTTTGCTCTTGGAGGCCATGGAACAAGCGAAAGGGATTCTGCGGCAGTGCAGCAGCGTACGAAGAGCACTGCTCGGTTGTCAGTCGTCAAGCTGACCCTGAGCAATCGCGGCAATTAACGAATGGTTCCCACACGACTTGATTAAGGACCAGACCTGTCGTTTGAGGTCGTGACTTCCGCGATATCCGTGAATCACATGTGCAACGCACAATGCAACTGTGCATTGGAGGACCGTTGCACTTTTCGATAGTTCATCCAGCAAGAATTGTCTAGCCAATTATCATATGTCTCTGGACGCAGTTATGATCAGAATACTTCAGAATCTAGACCGGGGGGATTTGTATCCAAGTCTCATAGATACAGGAAATTTGAGATAACGTGCCTGGGCGCCCACAGCACCCCTGTCGTATTCCAGTCAAGACGGTATAAAAACGCCGCAAAGGTCCCGGAAATCATCAGAGGGACCGAAAACATAGGGATGATGGAATGCCTTAGATCAAGGGAATAGATCCATCAAGTTTTGATTCAGGCAAGAAGAATATCTGGCACTAACTTGATCGAGAGCTCGAGTACCTCAGGCGTTTATCTTGAAATGGTCTTGAGAGGCGATCCTGAGAAGAGTCAGTCCGGACCGGTGGTCGGTCCTTCAACCTTATCTCCCGTTTGACTTCCGCCATCGCGTCAAGTGTCCGTGCGCATTCTGGCGTATCCTCACTCGCACGTTCGTCGCAAGTCTTTCTCCAGGCAGTGTCCTTTGGTTATCGTTGTTCTCGTGAGTGGAGCTTCTAGTCCTCTTACCTCATTGAATTGTCGCATAGAAACTCATCGGTGAATAGCTGTTGCGAGGTCAACATTTCAGCTAGCCTATAATTGACCTTTCAGTGGCCCTCTTACTATCTACTATCTTCTGACCGCAGTTCAGACTGAGACAGTCATCCATTCATATTTTTCATATGCCCCGAAGACTCGGTTGGAACCTATTTCAACCCTGAACGAATGTCTAGGTTTTTTCACTCGAGAATCCAAAAAAACCTGTACCTTAATGGCGCTGCTCTTCTTCTCGTCCTGGAAGCCAATGCAAATACAGGTGAGTAGCTCTTTCCTAGAATACGCTACGCTTCTAATATTTCCGTTCCTTTATTGCAGTACCTCTTCTTATTCACCTTTCCATTCTCACGCATCTCTTACTTTCACTGGCACATGGCTGTATCATGATATGCGAAACTCAGATCGCGTCATGCTTGTTCTAACTTAATCATTTCTGCGAAGTTATTCAACCATCAACACGAGTACGGGATACGTCGCTGCTCACAGCGTCTGCCACTTAGTATAGATAACCTTGTTTTCGGTGTGATTCTCATATCCGTCGAAAGAACTAACGTTGATCTTGTATTTTTCGACAGGTCCTTCATCCCCAACTGGAATTCCACAACATGCAGACACTTTGTTCTGGTCCTACGCTGATTTAGTTTTCCCGGTCGTGCGAATTTGAAAAGACTATCATCGTGCTTACTGGTTATTGATAGAGGAAGAGGGGGAGATTTTATTCTAGTCAGTGTCCCTGAGGAGGAACAGACAGGACCGTTCTATTTCTAGGTGCCACTGCTATATCCATCGTTAGCCCGGTTCTCCATTGTGGGTGTTTTCCTTGATCACCTTATCCAGCATTTCCCATCGTTACTCTAGATGCTGCACGAGCGGCAGACGTGAGTAAATGCTTTTCTTCGACTTCCATGACATTTGAATTTCTAACACCTCCTAATTACGAGGTTGTGCGCAAGATTATCAGAGACCAGATATGCCTACTTTATCTCTTGTTAGTTTGTAAGCTTAACGAGTCTTTCAGTTATAATAAACCAAGCTGAGATCACTGCTGCACCGCGGAAAGAACCAGTGTAACACTTATTTCACGTTCAAATCACACTTCTTCTGTACATTCCGAAAGTTCTCATCTGTCGCTCCCACACATGTGTTTTTGTCTTGAGAATTATCACTAAGTATTCCACATTTAAAACTATTGACGAAAACAGATCTAGAATCGTTCCATAAAGTCAGTTCAGATTTATTTCTACACCTCCTCTGCTTCCTATCCGAATAGTAAAATATTACGCACAGCTAGAATTTCAGATACTAATTTGAAGACCGCATCCCTCTTGTTACTGCTAATTTATTTGCTAAAGGATACTTTTAGTCTGAAAGAACAAGATTTGTCTGTCAATTAACCGGCCGGTGGCCAGCCCCAAAATGATATTTATCTTAGGGTTCGTTTAACTCTGTGGCTGGGAATCGAACACAGCTTTCTCACGGGCATTCAATGTGATGAAAATTCCATGACAACCATGTGGACTAACTGTTAAATGACCAGAGATTATGCCAATAGGGGTTATGGGTTTCAAGTGTGTCAAACCCAGCACTGGCAAAGAAGGCTGCAAATGGGAGACAGTGTAGGTAGTCAGTCATTGTTGGCTGTAGAACAGAGAGTGGAATTGCAAGGAAGAGGGAGATCCCCCCCATGCAGTGAGCTGTAGCTACTTATGTACTACACTATGTAAGTGGCATAATCATAATTGTAACATACAATAGAATGAACAATGAGAGTGATACAAGACCATATAACTAAGCCAATGAGCAGAGTCTAGTGGTACAAATCCCCTACACTAGTATGATTCATCATCAGGAAGACTTGAAGATTTTGATTATAGAAGATAGCCAGGAGAATAGATTTGTTGCAAGCATTGAAGAAAGGTCATACTGGAGAAAGCCAAAACAGATCAGAAAAATCCATGCATAACTGCTATCCTCTAGATGGTCATTGCTTTCTTCAATTTATTGTCCATGTCACTCATAATCCACCATTCCCTAGGACTGAAGGGATATGCCACATTTTTCTCCACTTTCTACACTAATTTTTCAGACAAAAAGTTTTGATCTTAGCTCTCAAAAGCTGGCTTGTGATCATTCTAGGGTGCTCTACTTGATACCTTGACCTTACCAATTTCATTGTGGGTAATCTATCCTAGCCATAAGTTTGCAATTACCAGTACACCTAGTAAATTGGCTGGTGAACTCATTCCACTCACTGATTCCTTGCTTATTATAACTTTATTCCTTTTCTGTCTATCTGAAATCAATCAAAGATTTTGATAATACTAAAATAAGCAGTCATCTAAGGCTTTATCCCTACTCCCTATATGAACAGTGACACATACTGAACTTTTCTGTGATAATTTTAAGACCATCTAGCCATTCTTATTTTTGCTAATGAATATTTTAAGCTGAAGGAAACAAGGATCAGTGTCACTGATTATTCAGACAGCCAAAAAATCATGTGTCAACCATTAAACTCTGGCTGGAGCCAAACCCAGCTTTATTATGGCATGCACATGCACCAACTAATATACTAGCAGAGGTTATAGATTTAAACTAGATGGCAATTATAAAATAACAAAGTTTTTCACAAGTATCCACTATCATCTTAGACAGGAAATTCAAAGTAATAACCTTCAGAATAAATACAGATATTGCATGTCATAGTGCTTCTCTCACTAAAACAATGATCTATGACTTGAGGAGCCTGATGCCATCCATACTCTAGTCTTTAGTTGTTTATATCCTTCTTATGAATATGGCCTTCATAGATCATCTTTTTTCTGTTCTTGACATGATAGATTAGGCTCTCAAATTTTTATCCACTCATATTCATGAACATGAACTCTATCTTCTAAGATAACACTGTATTCTTCATTCTCTCTTTTCTATTTTAGTTCTTGTCTTGAACTCAGCTCTACTCTTATCTCTGTGGCACTGAAAAAAAAAATCTACTCACTACTGCCATTCTTTCAAAAACATTTAATCAAGAATATTAAGTAATAGAAATGAAGCTCTGGCTCCAGTTATCCACACTAAAATCATTGGAACTATGATATCCCACTTAGTCCTCTTTCCTCTATATTCTTGTTTTAATATTCTTTGTGATAAACTCTAAATTAACATTCTCTCACATAGGCTTCTCTCTGAGATTCACTTCATATATCTCTTCTTTCTTTGTCATATAAAGACCTCTAAGATCTAAATCAATCACAAGCATTCTATGAGTCTGAGAGTTCTCAAATAGAAAATATCTAGACAATGTCACCACTAATCACTAGTCACTATAGCACTGTATTCTCTTTTAATACTGTCTCTTGTACTTTGCTCTTGCTCTTCTTGCTGCTTGACCATCAACATTCACAGTGTATTCTTAATTATTGGTCTCTGTGTGAGCACACATTTAATTATATAAAATTTTCAGAATATTAATGTCTCATATTTTTAATATTATAAGAAAAGACTCCAATAATCTATGGAGGCATCCTTTAATCTTGGCTCATTCTGAAAAAACTTCAAGCAGAGAGAATCAACTAGAGAGAGAGGGACTTGCAATATGCAAATAATTCCAACAGTTCTGCTCACTTATTCATAATGGATCTCTCTATTTTTTGTGTAATCATAAATGTCTCTGTCTATGTAGTGTCTCACTGACTTGATCAGTAGGTAAGTAATTCTCATTTCCTTGACCTCCTCCTGGTATTATCTATCTTAGCTAGTAATTCTTCTCAAAATCTTCTGCCCCACACTCTAATCTCTCATTGGATCCATCTTTTCCATATTTCTATATGTGAATATGCTCTCTCAATGTTATAACCACATATTCTCTTGCTGGTGTCATCACATTTAATTGATCAGTCACTCCTATTATCATCTAACATGAATCTTTTTTTGTATGCTATAACAGTGTCAGGTGATAACCAAACAATCACAAATGCTTAGCACTGCAACTACTGGGATCTGACACTAACTGATAATAATGCAAGATGATAAGAATGATAATATAAAGAATGATGATAAGCAGAATGAGATAGAGGGATTGATAGACTACAGCTGCCAGCATAAGAACTGAATCAGTAGCCACACTGAGAGTCTAAGAGTGTGATGAGTAAGAATTAACCTTAACTTGAGACTATAGTACATCACTGTAAACTATTGACTTAAATACTGTTCAGAAATGTCTTAGGTCTATAGACAACTATTGTCTCACTGTCATGCCTAATACTTATTGTCCAATGACAATACTCTCTATGCTGTGTGGTCATGCTATTGTATGCTCACAGTATAATTTTTACAGTGAGAGTTGCATGAGTCACAGTTGTCCTGATAAAGATCACACTGTTGCACAGTCATCCTGTGTGGTCAGCATGCTGATGCTGGCTGTATATCATATTTCAATGAGTAAGGGACAGTATAATATCATCATGCATGTGTCATTCATAGTTTCATATTGCTTTGTCAAAGTTTCTCTGTGGCTGAGGCTGACTTCATCAGAGATCATCAGAATTTTATAAGCATCAGCCTGCTGTTACAAATTTTCTGCTTATCTTATCTTATCAAGTGTCTATCTAATATTGGATGCTTACTCTATATTTATCTGGCTGGACCAGTAACTATGACTATATCAGATAACTCATGCTATTATGCTATAGCTTGCAACTAATGCCTCACCAACAGACAACATTTATTGTTTCATATCTGTATCACATGCTCTTTATTCTCAAACCACAAACAGACATAGTAAGTAGGACTATATTCATCACACTCAGAAATGTATATAAGTAGTCTAGCTCTTGCTATAATAGACTCAGCTTTGAGCTAAAGTTTACTCTATACTACTCACTCTTGAGCCTATGTACAAATACCTTGATTCTCACAATGAGTAAAATGCCAGAGGTGGACTCCAGTGTGATTGTACAAACATGATACAAGGCTGGTTTATCATGAGTTCAGCTCATATGATGCTTAGGTCTAACAATTAGCTCAAAGCTTGACTTACTCTTCTCTCAGCTATCACTGAGAGTACTGTATGGAATCCATCCTTTACTTTGCTATCACAGTCTTCATCACTGCCTTCATGATAACCCTGCTATTTGTTTATACCTTCTATATCTACAGGTGGAAAGTATACAACTAGTATCATTGACTACTAAATCATTAGAACACTTACTAACAAAACACTCAGCTTCCCCAAACCCATTCTCACCTCTGCTGCTACAGAGTTATTGGCCAATATGAGTTCAAAGCATTGGGACTCACCATCCATCTTCTCTGCTGGATCAAAGAGACCTGCCTCCCAGATGAGCAGGAAGTCCCACTTCCTGCAGAAAATACAGAACTCAGTACCATAGATAATAGTGCTGAGAGAGGAAACATTCTCTGAAGAAAGTAGAGCAAATAAATGCCACCAGTTGAGATCTCCACTCTGGACTCTGAAAATGAACAACCAAGCCTGGCAGGTGCAAGCCAGCTTGGAGGACTCTCAGCTCCACATATATCTGGCAGCCCTATTGTCTTATCAGATGATGACAGCAGCCCTCCACCATCATGACCATGAAGAACTCCCCTTCTGATGACTTCAGTTCTGAAGCCTCAAATGCCACTATCAGAGGTGACAGCAAAGTCTCTTATAGACTAATATCAGAATGAGTATTGAGCAAGAAATTAACTCCTTCTTCTCTCTACTCTCCCTTCACAATAATGAAATTCTCTTCACAAGGGCTGTTGAAGAGGCTCTATAAACTGTATGAGCTGCAGCAGCTCATACTTATGCCACCTCCCAGGAATGATGACTTCAAAATTGATTGGATGCTCACAGATAATGAGAAGAGAAACTGGCCTGAGAACTTCTCAAGCAAGATGGAATCATCAACAATGAACAAAGGGAAACCCTCACCTCATTCACTTATGCATACCAACAATGAACCACAAACCCCATGCTAATCACTCTGCCCTGTCTCTCTTACCAACAATCTATGAGACCAATTACTTCCATCTGCCTCCTCACCACCACCAGTGGCAAGGATGAACATACCTGGTAAATCCACTGGGGTATCAACCTCAATCTCTGATGTCACTACTAGGTTCAGGAGGAATATGACAAAAGGCTGGCCTGAGTGAAAAAAAGTGACCACTGAATCTGAGAAGTAATAGAGCAGGAAGGAAGAGAGAAAATGGCTAGATGAAGAGTATCAGAAGATTTGGAGGGAAATGACATGCATTCTGCTCACTGAAGCATTATGGCACATGATGAATTTGAGATGCAGATAGGCCAAACTGATATGGGTAGGAGAGTAGAAGGAAATTTTTCAATACAGTGTTATGGCAACAGCTGTTTTTAAATTCAACATGCAGTACTCTTCTCACTCTTACCAGACATGTTCCCCCTATGAAATCAGATGAAGCCTCAAACTCTTAATTGCAAGCCCTTCACCATTGCCTAGCATGCCAAACCTCTGGGCATATAGACTCTGCCTACATGCTAGACAAGGCCAAGACTCTGACAGTACTACCAGACCATCAGGAAAGGCATCAGAGAAGCTGCAACCACTTCCTTCACCTCTGTTGAAAATGCCACCAATGCTCTTGAGTCTGGCAAGCTCAGCAGCAACTCCTGCAGATAACTAAAGTCTATAGCCCCTACCACAGCCACCTCCATGATGGCAGCTGTCAGACCTCTCTCACCAATCCACTGGTGCCATTGGAGACAGTGACCCCTGGTCTGCTTATAAACTAAATCTGGTCTATAAACCAGAAATGTTCAAAGGGCCCATGAAGATCTTGACCAGTTCATCACTGACTGTAGACTCTATTTTGAGGTGCACTGTGCATACCTTATCCTGGACTCCCACTGAATTGCATTTACAGTCTCCCACTTTAAAAGAAAGGCCAAGAACTAATAGATACTCCAACAGGCAGAATATTTCAGTCACAGTTGGTGTTAAGCCCAGGTTACATGTGACCTAAACACATGATAAACTGATGCTGTATTGGGTTCATACAGTTATGTTAGAGTTCACTATATGTGTTATCTAAGCATTGTGCTTCAAGGCCAAGATGAGTCAGCTCAAGATTAAGTAGCATAGAATAAACTTTAGCTCAAAGCTGGGTATATACAGCAAGAGCTATACTACTTATATCCTGTTTGAGTTCTTGAATAATTATAGACCTACTAATTGTGTGTTACTGTGATACAGTGCCCATTGTCTCTGGTCATTGGTGTTGGTACAATACAGTATTGTCAGTCATTGAGGTGCTCATCATCACTTGAAGATGATGATATGGGTGGCCTATTTATGTGTAAGCATATCTCATGCCTGTGCATAAGCATCTATAACTGATAGCTGCTCTGAATAATCAAAGATAGAGGTTGAGAAAAGAAAATAAAAGAAAAAGAAGTCAGAAATCATAACAGTTAGAGCTATCACTGATTCTCTTTCTAGAAAAGATTTTAAGAGAATCTCTGAAAAAAGTTCACTGACTCTGCCATCACCAACATACATCAGAAAAAGATGTATAAACTCCAGTAAGAATTGCAGACAGCAACTAAGTACTTCTAAGACCTCAAGTATGAGGCCAAGTTAGCTGGCCTATTAAATTACAAGGCTGACTGAAGACACTTAGTCACTGCCCTCAAACAAGATGTCTACCAAAGCCACATCAAGATGATCAGCATTATCAGTATAAATTTGCTGAAGGAGTATGACCAATGGAAGGAACAGATTCAAATTATAGATTGAAAATGACAGCATAAGCAAGTACAGGATGCTAGAATCTACACTGGCACTGATATCAGACTCTAAATAATAAAAAAACTAAAAAGTCTGCTTCAGAACCCAAGCCTGCTACCCATTTGACCTCTGGTAATAAAGTGGCAGATATGGGTATGACTTTTGGGGGCCAGAGAAAGCCAATAGACACTGACAAAATGAAGAAGAGAAAGTGTTTCAACTGTAGAGAAAAAAGACACTTAGCAAAGAACTGCCTGAAGAAGAGGATGCATGAAGAGATTCATGCTCAGATTGAAAAGTTGCAGCAGGAAGCAGGCACTGAAGAGGTTTTGCATATGTGCAAGATGGAAACTGACACAGCAAACAGCATGATCTCCAATGACCAAGCATAATTTGACAAACTCTGTGATCAACCTAGCTTGGTTGTAGGTTCTGTCTATATTGTAAACTGAGATTGGAGCAGCAGTTGATTTGGTTGAAAGATGATTTCATATGATGTAGTTTTGATTGATTAAGCTCTTAGTACAGCCACTGTCAATCAGAGCTATAGCTGCATAGATAGTGCCCTTATAGTGTCTCAATCTGGATTTTGATTAATAGATCTCACTCTTAGGTCTTTATTCACTGAATATACCATTTGAGTTCACACAGTTCATCAAGCCACTTGAGTGCTTGACTTCATTCTATCTCTCTCATGTCTTCTATTATCTTATCAGTCACTTCCTCAGTTTGTGCTTTGTGTACCCAACTCTTGAGTATGGTCTTCACCTCTTCTTTTGTCCAGGCATTCTTGATAGTGTGTCAGTTCCACTCTGTCTCAAATGGTTTTAGCCTTCCAGTGTCAGTAGGCACTGGAGGCTCTCTATCTCTTATTAGGCCTCCAGGCACTTGAGTCTTCAGTTTTGGTGTTAGACCTAAACATCATGCAAGTGGAAACTCATGATAAATTGGTGCTGTATTGTGCTTGTACAGTTATACTAGAGTCCACCTTTAGTGTTTGATTCAGTGTGAATGTTTCAAGATGTTGCAAGTGGCTCAGGAGTGTGTGATATAGAATAAACTTTAGCTCAAAGCTGAGTCTACTATGGCAAGAGCTATACTACTTATATATATTTGGGCCTATGATAAATATAGTCTGTCCTATTGTGGCTGTCTGAGGGTTTAAACTAAAGAATGTGTTATGAGTGCATAAAACAATAAAGTACATATGTTGTTGAGATGTTTCTCATGAGTCACAGTATAATAGTGCAAGTTGTTCAATATAAGCATGGTTATACTGATCTGGCTGGGTAGATAGTGGAGAAGTGCCTATGATTAGATGAGCATCTAATAAGATAAGATAAGCAGAAAAATCATAACAGTCAGAGGTTTTTGTTTAGGCAATTCTTTTAGTTCAGTTGATACTGAAGTGGAATTAGGTATATTCAAATGCACATGTAATTTACTTGTATCTACAGGCATAGTATGAGTCTAACCAGCAGCTATTGACAATATACCATTAAGTCCTTGAGCAGAACAAGTGGAATTGCTCACTGGTCAGCCTTGTCTTTTACTTTCTTGATCTTTGATTCTTCCTCATTTGATTCCTTCATAGCATCTGCCTTCTTTTGCAATTCTGCAATTTGAGCTCATATCTTGTCTCATGTCCTCTTCTTCAGACAGTTTCTTAGTAGATGTCTTTTCTTCCTGTGATTGAAACATTTTCCTCCCTTCTTCATTCAGTCAATATTTATTGGCTTTCTCTTCTCTCTATGATTTTCAAAGCTGTCTTTTTCTCTCTGGATGAGCTCATCACACTGGGGCCTGATGCCTTTTGAGTTCCAGAATTATTCTTGGAGTGACTGCTGAATCTGGTTTTCTTATTGTGGATCTGGTTTATAGAGTTGGTCACCTTCTGTCACTATTACTCTTAGTTCATGATAGTGATCCACTCTTTCCAAGCATCATACCCTTTCAGAATATTGACACCAATATTGGTGATCATGCTGGTGTATGACTGAGAGACATCAACTTTCAGCGCAGTAACCATGTGCTCTTCTTTGCCTGTATCATGGAGAAGGACAGCTAACTGAGTGAGATATTTGAGGTCTCTAAAATATTCATTGGCAGTTTTATCATCCATTTGGAGTTCATATATCTTTGCTTTATGGATGTCTTTTACTGCTAATGTGTTTGGTAATAGTTAAGTGACTAAAGGGAGTAAATGAGGAGTGAACTCTCAATATTAATACCTAACTACTCAATACACTATCACTAAATATAGTTGAGGTCAGTTATTGAGTATGATAGAAGCACTTTGCAGTCTTAAATAAATAAGAGAAACAGTTGATAAAGATTATTATTCAGTCTTATCTCACTCTCTAAGATGTAATACTTATGAGAGTAGATTATTGCAATGTTTAAGTACAATTAGAACTTAGAATCAATGCACAATTGCACTTCAGATCAACTTAGAATATTCTGAAATCCAATGAACTCTAAAACTGAAATACTAGGTCTATCAAGCACTTAGGCTTAACTAGCTATGCTCTTGGCTAGCTAGCAGTCCTTAAAACTGAAGAACTTGTATTCTGACACTGAAACTCTTCTATTTTATAATCTAAATTAATCCAAAACTAATATACTGTTAATATTCCAATCCTATCTTTTCTAAGTGACTAGGCAACTTAAATAGTTATTAAGTTGAAGCAGAACTCAAAAACCATTGTCCCAGGGACTAACTACAGTGAGCTAAGAGGCTTGAACACAGGAGGTGGGTTGCTTACTACTATTTTCCCCCTTCTCTACTTTTATATGTCAAAAACAGATACACAACCTATAAATAAAGTGTCTAAAATAATATTTCTCCTGTCTAGACTAACATCAGGCCATTATTTCAGCTTGGCAGCATTCCTGGATTCCTCTAGGACTACTCAGACCTGTCTGGCCACTACACAGCTTTATTTTAGGCATATAGTGCCTGGTGGTGCCTAACTCCCTTCTATTATTCTAGAGTATTAATTAATCTCCTAGGTTATTTTTGGTGGCTGATCAATCAGACTCAACCAATCAGCCCTATCCATTCTATTCCTCTCATTTCTAAGTCCCTTAGATCACCTGATGTCTAGAAATTCTGACTTAGGCATTTTGAGTCAAAACTCAAGATGCTAACTACAGATCATTGAGTCTTATTTTCTACTGCTTCTGGATAGGATGCTATCTTGACTCAATACTCCACAAATAGCTATAGGTTTATACCTCTAGCTGCCTTAGAATATACCTGCCCTAGTGGGATATAGAATTGGCCCCATTTGAGATACCATTTCTAAGTTCAACTTAGTATTTTCCAAAATATAGTGCAGAACTTTTCTAAGTTCAAACTTAACTTTAGGATTTGTATCCTTATGCTGTGTCATTTCACAAATTCACTGTTGGACATAGTATTAGTGAGTAGCATGACTATCAGCTTGGAGCCTCAGCCATAGTCCTCAACTGGTTAATGATCTTTAGTTGCTAGCATATCCTAGTATGTTATGCAGAATTCACAAATTATAGAGCTAAATGTGTACCCAGCATATCACCACTGAATCAGTGAATTTGTCTCTGATGGCTTCTTTGAAGATGGGCCATGAGAGCAGCTGATAGTGTCTCTGAGTAGAGGAGTATAGTTTGGTGAGGCTCATAGTCCATCAGTCCTTTACTTTGTCTTCAAAGTAAAATGCAGTAAAGGTGATGCAATAGATGTCAGCAGTGAGATAGGTGGCTTGTACTTTGAAGTACATTTTGCAATCAACTAGAAACCAGTCAATATCATCAGAGGCCTCTTTAAATAGTTGGAACTTCCACATGAGTTCTGGTTTGCACTGTATCATTGGTGCATTAGTGGCTAAGGCAGTCATTGAGTTAGAGTATTCTACAAAGAGCAGAGGTGCTCAGTTATATGGCAGTGAAGAAAGAGAGTGGAGGAACTCATCATCAGCAACAGAGCTTCTCTTGTCTACTCCTTTTTCTTTTTCTTTCTTTCTCTGGATCTATCCATTAATGATTTTAAACTTGCTAGCTTCTGGGTCTTTGTTGTTATTTTCTTCATCTATGGGCTAGTTTTCAGATTCAACCAGTGGATCAGTTAGCTTGCTGTGGCTAATTCTAGCTTTGGTGAATGTGCCTTCTTGCCTGGCAAGGAGTCAGCTGATGCTGATTGGAGGCCATTTATAATACTGGCAGATGTCAGATTTCTTGGCTGATCCTTGGTTTGAGAATACTGAGCAGGCAACAGATCAGATGGAGAGGGCCATGTATTCAGCTTGTCAGCTAGGCCTTGGGAGAGAATCCAGCATAGATCAGACTTCATGTCAGAATTGATATGGTGGCTTCAGCATGGGACACCAGAGGTACTTGGTGTTAAACAGGTAAATAGACTGTTTAGTTGCACAGTACTGTAGCATATCAATTTTTTCCTGTGAGTCTACTACTAAATACTTCTCTCCTAGAGAGATTACTTTTTATGCCACATCTGCAGTTAATGCTGCTACCCATTCTTCATACATCTTCTGAAATACTTTGTTCACTGCTTGATGAATGACTTGCTCTATTGGAAGTCCTTTCCATCTCTATTTCATATTAGCCTCAGAGATAAACACTTTCTCATGCATCAAGATCATCATCTGAACTGTCATCACTGGAGAATATAGGGGGTGGTTGAGTATCAATGTTTCAGTGGGACAGTTCTGTTCTTTCTGCTGATGTCTCTACTTGGATGTGAGCATTGCAGAGGCAGAGAGTGAGGGCCTCATTTTGTCAGATGAGATTCTCAATTCAGATTCTGTCTTAGGCTGGAGGGTGTTCACAGATAGTGCAGGGCTCCAGCATCAGAGAGTGGGTGCCACAGACTGTATGGTTATCTGGAGTATCAGGCTATAAGAGAGCAGTAAAGAAGGCCTCTGCTGATTCACTCATGGCAGAGGAATATCAGAGAGAAGAAGCTGAGTGAGCAGTGGCCCACTGGTCAGTATCAATAGAGTCCTGAGTGTGGTTGTCAATTCTGAGCTCAGGAGAGGCAGTATCTGAGGTAAGAATGATATCATCTCAGAAGTCATTTGGAAGGTCATTGAAGTGAAGGTCTGCAAGGATGTCATATCTCTCTTCTTTTTTACCTGTCAGAGTAGTTTCTTGAGGGCCATTTCTGGAGATATTTTCAGGTACAGGTTAATCAGTTGGAATGTCATGGAGGAGAAGGATAGAGGATTCATTTTATTGGTTAGCAGAAGTTCTGAGTTGGATAAAGTGGGTATAATACCAGATAATCCAGCTGCTGATAGACTGATTTCTGTGACAAATGAGAATTAAGGCAAAAAGCCTAAGGAAGGTGCTAATGATGGCACTCAAGAGCTTAAAGAAGTTGAGAGTGATATTAGGGGTTGGCTGCATTTGTCACAATTTTTGCCCCTAAATCATGACCTGCCAGTGCTTAGTAAGCAGATGCTTATCAATCTTGACCTCAGGCTGACCTTAGAAAAGATGATGAAGATATGATGACACCATGACTATGCCTTATTTATTGATGCACAATAAGATGACAAGAAACAATATGATAACTATTGCTATCCCATATCTTGAACACAATAGGAACTGTGGCATATGGAAAACTCACTATAGCAATAGTATAGCAGAGTGACAATAACAAACAAAAGCAAGGGCACAGTCATTGTTATCTCAGACAATAAGCAGAGAGTATGAAGAGCAGACAATAGTCACCTGTAGAGCATAGGATTCTTTAGACAGTATTTAAGGCAGTAGTACACACTGATATATCTCAGTCCTGAGCTGAGGTTTAATACACCTACTATACTCTCTGAGTACCTGATGCAAATACTCTTGCCATAACAGCAGACTATATCTATCAGCCACAACCCTTCATCCCTCTCTATGAAATCCTTATAGCTTACCTCATCATTCTCATCATACTTTTATGTCAAAATCAGACCCAGACTCAGAATCTAGAATTGGACCCAGCAGAAGTGGTGCTAGAGATTTGTGAGTGTTAGTGGAAGTCTAACAATTAGCTCAAGACTTCACACACTCTGGTCCAATGGCACATTGCCAAGGACTAGCATATAAAACTCATGCTCAGAAACATCATTGCCACCTTTATCACAGATGCTTGTCTGTTCACCACAGTAACTGGAATTATTGGATACCATGTCATATAGTTACCAAGAGAGTAAAGAAGAAGAAGGAGAGAACTGGAGGAGTGGCAGAGACAACAAAGAGTGGATCTCCTCTATCAAGTCCTCCAACCAGCACCTTATGCACTCCTGAGTCAGGAGAGCATCATCATCCAGCCATTGGCCCCAGAACCCACAGACATCAGCAGCGTGAATTACATCATCTGATCTCCAAGATCCAGAAGTGTACAAAGTGAAAGAAAAGGAGTTGAATCCCCCTCTCTTATCATCTGACTGGCAACCTCTGATAAGAAAGAGTCAGTACAAGGGGATGATGGCCATAGAAGCTGATCCTCAACCAGAAACATGGCTGCTCTCACTGCTGACTACTACCAAGGGCATATGCCAGAAGTTCTGTCTGGGCTTTACTCTAGGCAGGTGAATGAGTCCAGCCTTGCACCCAGTATGTGCTGAAGCCTTTTGATCCAAGAGCAGAATATCAGTCAGATTGTCCTTAGAGTCAATGCATATAGCCTCAGAGGGAGCAAGCCTCAGTCTGCAGAATCAGGAACATTGGATCTATACAAGCCCAGCAGAGGATATGAATATATCCTCAACTGGCAAACCTGTGTGGCAGAAGAATCTGCCTGGACATTACTGGTGGCTCAGAGAGTGGCAAATGGCAGACACCTGCTGGTTAGGCACCAGCAAAGGACTCCAATATCTTATACTGCCAGAGCACATCAGAGATCTAATGGACAGAGCATGGGCAGAAACTAAAGTAGCAGAAGCAGCACAAAATGCCAAAGAGTGCTAGGAGCCCTCATTTCCTTCCTCTTAC